GGGGGCATACGTTGGCTTTCATATACATATTACTATTGATCGGTGTTAAATGATTTATTTTTTCTGTTAAAAGTTCACAAAAATATATAGGTATACGTATATACAGCAATTGGTTAAGACAATTCAGAAGACCAAGTGCTTCTTAGTTAATTTATGTACGTAATGAACATATTTTTTATAGTGTTCAAACAATTAACTCAGTTCAATTGACCAGTCATATTTTTACGAATTGTCTGAATTAATCAATGGATAAATCCGACATTGGAATCTAGAATAATCTAATGGCTTTAGTTTCGAAGTAGATGAGTGGCTAACCAGTGTACATACACACATGTATTGAATGAACAATTGGCTTGTGTCAAGTTTGGCTTATGGCTGTACTTATTGCTATGATAAAAAAGTCTAAAGAAAATTATACATTTGCCATTTGCCTCGATTTAACTGCTTTCAAAATTAAAATGCCGATGTTGTAAATCATTATTCAAAGAGCCACATGACCGTACTACAACTCTTTGAAACGTTTGTAAGTGTAAAAGATTTATGCAAGGAAGAATCAATGATTCAAACATAAAACAAGAAGCATTAAAAACCGCAACTCAGTTTAAATATCACGCACGGATAAGCCAATTGCTGGAATTATCATCACTGGGATATTTCCAGAATCTTATTCAGAAGCCAGAGGGAATTTATCTTTCATTGATTACCTACAGAGATCTTTACTTCCTTTTTATATTTTTTGAAAATTTGTTTCTATTTCAAACGTTTATTTTACTACTTGTATCTAAATTTTTATATCGTCGTTAATCCAAATACTATCGAACGTGAGTACACGACTGTTTTTCTTTTGTCATTTGTTTTATGTCTCTACCTCTTTTTCCATCTTGACTTCCTATTTACTCTAAACCCGAATCGGTCTTCCCCAATACGAGGGTGGATTGATAAGTTTCCGGCCTGCCAAGAAAAACAAGGTTTTTAAAAATTTTTTTTTTTTATTTCTCAACATAATCTCCTCCAAGGCTGATACATTTCTCATAGCGGTGTTCCAGTCTATTAATGCCATCTCTATAGACTGATTCGTCAAGCTCCTCAAAATAACCATTTACAGCTTCGATTACTTCTTCATTGTCCGCAAATCTCTTACCGCCAAGCCATTTTTTGAGATTAGGGAACAGAAAATAGTCACTCGGGGCTAGGTCTGGAGAGTAAGGAGGGTGCGGCATCAATTCAAACTTTAGATCGTTGATTTTAGCCGTCGCAACGATTGACGTGTGCGCTGGTGCGTTATCGTGATGAAACAAGATTTTTTTCTTCGCCAGATGAGGTCGTTTAATTTTCACCTCGTGGCTCAAACGTTGCAATAAGTCTGCGTAGTATTGACCAGTGATAGTATTACCCTTTGCAAGGTAATCAATGTATATAATACCTCTTGCATCCCAAAAAACAGTAGCCATAACCTTGTTCGCCGAAAAAATTGTTTTTGCCTTCTTTGGAGTTGGTTCCCCTGGTCCAATCCACTGTTTAGACTGTTCTTTGGTTTCAGGAGTGTAGTGGTGGACCCACGTTTCGTCAACGGTTACGAATCGACGCAAAAATTCGCTTGGATTACGCTTATACAATGACAAATTTGCGGTAGAAATGTTTTTTCGAATCAATTTTTGGTCGACTGTTAGCAAACGCGGCACCCATCTTGCACAGAGCTTTTCCATATGCAAATGTTGGTGCAAAATATGTTGCACACGTTCATATGACATCTTACAGGTCTCAGCTATCTCACGCACTTTCAATCTGCGGTCTCCCAGCACTATTTGATGAATTTTTTCGATCATATCTGGAGTTGTGACCTCAACGGGGCGTCCTGAGCGAGGCCCATCAGAGGTGCTCACACGACCCTTTTTAAACTCGGAAACCCACTGCTTAACGGTTGAATATGACGGGGAGGATGTCCCCAGTGTTGAGTCCATCTCTTTTTTAATTTCCTTCGGCGTTAACCCCTTCAAATAAAAGTATTTGATGACAGCACGATTTTCCTGCTTTTCCATTTTTACGAAAACCACAGAGGCGTCTTGTTCAGCGTGCTGTCAAACCTACACTAGCAAGGAGATCGGGCTGAAACTATAGCTACAAGCTATCCAAGGATGGTACTATAGAATGTCACCTCAAGGTAGGCCTAGTGGCGTCATCTCTTGGTTAGGCCGGAAACTTATCAATCCACCCTCGTATATCTTCCGCCCTTTCTTCGATCCTTCCCTGCACGATTGTAGAGTATAAATTATGTGGAATTTTTTAAATAGTGTTAAGTAGGGTTAACACGAGTCATAACTAACTTGGTATTCCATAACATTAGTGTTTGTATAAATTTTATTGCTTTCTATGTATAATCGTATAATGCATCACCTTGTATGACGAAATAACAGATGTGTGAAAATTACCACTACGACTCGTTTTGCATCGAAGTCGTGCATCAGATAGATGGTCGTTGCTCTTCTAAGTTTGCAGTAATAAATCTGAAAGTCTTGTTTTATTGTCTAGTAGATAAGCTACCAACTGATAAGCGGTACCATGTTAAGAACAAACCAGTCACTAAATTAGATACTTATCATCGAACTAGGCAGTACTGGCTTTTGCTAACCACCTGAGGTTATTTTTTCAATCAAATTTTGAGTTATAGACATACAAAATGTGTATTTTCAATATCACTCATTGTTTTATTATTCATTACGTATGCGTATGAATGATAAGCCGAATAGATTATTTATTATTCACACTTGCATGTAGAAAATTAACATGTGGACTTTTAAAGATTAAGTTTTTTCTACGAAATTTCCTTGTGGGTAATAATAATATTTGCCTGTTAAAGGACATTACCTCTATGTTAAGGGCGCAAGAAGTTGCATTAATATGTGCATTTTATGGTCTAGTTCATGTCAACAGTACAATGGTTTGTAACTTACATACCTACATATCTCTGACCAAAAATGATTCTTCCAATTCGAAAAAGATATTCCAATTCGAATTTAATCTAACGATGTTTCAACTGGTTTTCATAGTTAGGTAACGCTCTGGAATTAATTTTGGACATTTCTTCACCATCTTACTGTACTGATTAAAAAGCCATAGTAGTTAATGTCATTGTTATTAAAATACTGTCTTTTTTAAATTTCGCGAAACAAATTGCAATGCGGTACATGTGACGAGATTCACATGTGTTTGCTCTGCGGTTTCCATAAACAGTGACAAAGGGTCCTAAGTATGCCCCTGATACTGATGCATGGACGAACGACGTCCGCTGTCTACATACATACCTATCTTGAAAGGTACTACACCCTAAAAAAAACTTATTCCCACGATTACCTACTATTATACTTCCACTGCGCGCATAAGCTGACGCAGGTGACAGATAGTTTGCAATTATCGCATGTACAACGTTCGACATTCTTCTACTTCTTATAAAATCTCTTAATCTTTGACTGAACAATTACCTACATATAGTATGTTAGCGTTTCTTCACTAACTAAGACTTGTTTTATATTCGATCCTCTTTCTACACATGTATAGGTAACCGTTGACAATAATAAAACCTGACTTCCGTATCACGCGAAGGCATTAACGTCCAACTCAACGCGTGACTTTAAAAACCTTTTGAAGATTTGAATTTATGGTCTTTCATATTCTCGGTGTGTGATTTTCATTCTATTTATTTATTCTTGCATTGTGTAAGCTAACCCTGTTAACCTATTAACAAGGCTTGCTTAAGGGATGCGATACCACTACACTGAAATATTACCACCTATCCATATATACATAGAAAGAAAAGTTGTTACTGAGATTTAATTTTAGTTTTTCTTGTTCATAATGTACTTTATTACCCACCCTTGCACCTTATTAACGATTATTTCAATAGTATAGTAGTATTACGATTAGGTATTACGAAAAAGCGCTCGAGATATAAAATAAAGAATAGCGCGGGGTCGGGTTGTTTCAAACAAAAAAAAAACATTTGGCTCACCACTGGTTAATTTGGAAGTTTGAAAAAGATTATAAGGGTGTAATTGCATTTGACCGTTTACGTTTTAGTATTGAACATTTCATGTGTTTCAAGAGTAATAACTCGGCCATTTCAGTTTCTAGTAAAACGACGAATAGACATACAGACGATAACTTACGTGGTACCTAGTACTCGAATAATTATAGAACTGTAATAGGCATCTGCTTTAACTAGTTAACCAAGGGACCTAGACCGCAAACTTCTCAAGTGTGTATTTCCACTTCTTTTAAGATTCATCAAATACTGCATTAATCGTGTTTATACACAAGACTAAATATTCATAATAAATGACAGTGTGTGTAACAGAGACGTAAAAGATTTTAATCTGTCACACTAGCATGAATTATTTAAATCGGCTTATTGTTCCCTGTATCTATTTATTCATTCGATAAAATCTGTACTTTGTAAGTATGTATAAATACATAGTGTAATTATTTCTGCATGTAGTGGTAATATTGAGGAATTAAATGTGGGCCAGTTATTTGACGACTTATGTTTTAACGATCAAATAAACTAGAACGTACGTTATGCGGTACACGAACTTGTTGTTAGTTACGATTTACGTTCACTGTAACGTGACTGTACTTACGATGTACAAGTGACAATTTCAAACTGTTAGAGATGTGACTTTAAGGAAAGCTGCGCGAATAGAAAGAATACATACTAGACGTGAGTAAGACAGAAATAGTTTGAACGAGGCAAAATATGATTGAATTTCGAATTTTTCACAGCGCATCCAAGTGAGAGGAAGGAGCATATCTCTAACTATTTGAAATGAGTTGTAACATATAATTCTCGGACCTACTATTAGTAACTTACATCGTATTATCTACATAATACAAGTGAGTTCAATGAGCTGCTCGTAAACTATTGTTGATTTGTAATTGAATATTTTTGAAAAACTGCCACTTACTTTTATTAATAGGCAGTAAGTTGTATATTTATCTTTTTCCAGGAAGAAAAGGAAGAAACGGAAAACGATAACGATTTTGATGATGAAGATGAAGAATTAGATGGCAATAATGGTGATGACGATTATGGTAGTTGGCAGGCAGAAGAAGCGCCACAGCAATCCCAGTACCCATACCAATCTCAATCACAAAATTCACCTTTTACACAGTTCAAATGGGATACATTTGGATCATGGCAGAATGTTGAGAAGGCTCGAAGACAACTTCTTGAAAATTCGAATAACCGTAAGTTATCTCTAACATTACATTGACTAACAAATAGGAATGTAGCCACATGTTTTGCATGGGCCAAGGGTGTGTCACCCCCGTTGTAGATTTTCCGTATAATACGTATTACAAATTACGCGCCTTAGCAGGAAAAGCAAATAATGTCTCACTTCTATTCTTCACCATCCCTCGGCTAGGAGGTGAAATTTTCTGGGGTAATTTATCAATCATCGAGAGAAAAATAGTAAAAGTCAATAGTTTTAAATTTTACGAAAAATCGGGTTAAGTTCAGGGTGGACCAGCGGCAATTCCTAATTTTACAATAAACTATATTTGACAGAGAACTTCAATCAAGAGTCTAGCTTTAATTTTACTGTAAATTTCTACGCCTATGAAAAGTTGGCAACAGAATAATTTTTGTCCTGAGGATCAAGCGACACTAACATATGACAAAACAATGTTTACTATTACGCTCGCAGATTTATCGCAACACGAACAAACGAATACATTTCAACGCCAGCCATTTCATGTGATATGCGGAACCCCAATAGTTGATTTAAGGGGAACGGTAGTGGAATTGGAAAAAATTAATTTCAATGAACACTAGGCAATTAGGATGACTTTTAAATTGCAGAACGTAAATTAATAGTTAAATATTGTAAAGTTTACTTGAACTATTTGCTAAAGGATTGAGAAACTAAAAAAGAAACTGTTTATCTTTTACAATTTTTGAGCATTTTGGGAACGTCGAGGTCCTTAGAAAATTATTAAGACTGAAAAAGGAATTGTGCCTAACCAGGAAGAACATTTCAACAATTCTATATTTACTTTTTTATGGATTTGATATTACTATTCCTCAACTTTAGTAATGTTTAAAATACGACTAAGTATAGCATTTGAATGCCAATCGAGTTTGTGTTGCAATCCGCCTTGTTCCTGTTTATAACTTCGAAATGCTTTCCAAGTGAATATTTTACTTAAAATAGGATGAACCTCAATCAACTTACACGTTTGTCGAAGGAAAGGTTGCAGCGTACCAAAGTCTACCGCAAAATTTCTGTCCATAATTGCGTATAGGTGCTGATATTTTCCAAAATTTTATCAATATGATTGTTGAAATAACTATACGCAAGGTTTAATAATATTCTTTCCTTGTAACATTGAACTTTTGTTTTAGTGGGTGAAATAAATCGAACAATAGCTCTGCAACACGTCAGAAAGATATTTTACGAAAGTAAGTGCAGAGTTCCGTATGCAAAAATTATTTCCGTTCAAGACATCCATCCTGACAGCAGGAAAACATACACTCCCCGATGCACAAAACTTTACAGGTGTGCAGAAGACACCGGATGTTGTGAAAATCATCAAATTTGCGGTATGAAGAATCAAGAGATAGTGGAATTGTATTTTTTTGTAAGTACTCATAAAACTCCGCGATAGTGCAATAGTGCACGAAATTCGTTTATTCAATTGTGGACTGTTTTTTTATAAATGGTAGTAGGTTGAAAGAAATATACCATTTTGTTTGATTATATCTTTAGATAACTATTAGAAACGTTAATACACCAAAACGAATTTTGTAGTGTTTCCAGTCAAAAATTACAGTGGTCTAAAAACCAAATGCAGCGAAATGATAACAATAAAATCGCAACGGGCCTCGTTTGGTCCCCTGCGTGACACCAGAATTCCTAAATTCATGTATTTTCGCTATAACCGATAGTATTTGAGCTACAACGCAGAACTACATCGATTTTCCTTTTTTAGGAATGTCCTTTTTAAAAGCTTTTCTGATACTAATCTACAAATTGTGTGTTTACAAGATTTTCTGTCCAGTGATACCTACAGTTCTGCGGGCTCGCCATTATCGTTGTACACAAAAGGTATCATTAGTGACGACGAAGAGCATGGGTGGGCCAACAATGATGTTGAATATGTATAATCAGATTCAATTGCTTTTGTTCTGTTTCGGACATAAGATGACAAAGATAATTACCTTAGTTACTTTAATATTTGATCTGAACAAGTCAACCATGGACGTTCGTATAGTGTAGGGTATTTTAATATTTTTTTACAAAAATCCCTTTCTTTTTTAAAATTTTTTACCAAAGATAAATATGGCCTTCAAAAAATGTGTTTAACATCTTGACTTTACATGGTGTTACGAAATATACGTCTATCTAAAAGCATTTTACGCCAACTTTTCACAAAATAAACGAATGAAGACTGCCGATTATTTATATACAGTTTACAACCAGAAATTTGGGTCACATGTGTAATTGCCGAATGGGGCAACGCACCCTGTCTAGTGAAATGACTTACGATCAATTTCCGACATTGGTGATATTTATAGAAAGACGAAATTCGGTAAATACTAACAACAATTTTAAAAGTATAGAAACAAACTATCTTTATCGTTTAATTGTTATTTTACTAGATGATTTCTTCAGATAAAATCAACTGTAGATATGAGTACCTTCGTGATTATAAATAAATACACTCACTTGTTCACTTTTTTCGGCATGGAAAGATTGCCGAGTTTGTCAGTCGACACTTTGCAAGCTTTAATTTCAAAGTAAACAAGATGTTATCACTTTCATCTGGGTACCTACTGCAGTATATTTGTCTTATTAATAAACCAGTTTAGCAATTATCCGGTTATCCGGTGAAACAACGGCCTCATACGACAAAAAGATAACAAAAAACTTGCATGAAAATCGTTTTTTGTTTATGGGAGAGAGCTCCCCCCTATTGGTTATCATTATTAATATTAATCATTTGTTTTATTTGTTTGTTTGTCTTTTCTTTTCTAAATCTAGCGCGGTTACAATTTACGAGAATTTTATTAAACCTTAAATTATTTTCACATTGTTCAAATTGCCAATGAATTGCGTTAAATTACATTAACGGAAACTAACATACATAGTACGTATACATTACTATTCGCATGATTTGTTCGTTAAGAAGTAAGTGGTAAACAGTAAACGTTTAATTACTATTAAAGCCTCTTAACGATACAATAAACATGTTTAATGTTAAGAAATGGTCAACCAAAGTCACATTTGAATATGCTGAATTTGTAGTGTAAAGAAAACCGTTATTCGTATTAACTTGCAAAAATTTTAATCGTCAGGTACAAAGAGGGGATAAGAAATAAAATTAAATAAGCTCTTATGATGAAAAATTAGAAATTTGATAGGTTGGAAAAAAAACTGAAGGAGGCACACCTCTAATTACCAACAAGTTTGCGTGTAGGCATTGCATTATCAATATCAATACAAGTATTAAAGAAAATCCTGCTGCTCAACGAATAATGGTAAAACATTTTCAAACAATGGTTTCCGATCTGCGAATCGGCCAAAAATTTCTGATGAGAAACAATAGTAGGAGTAATGGAAATCAGAAAGGCCACCATTGGCAATGTAAATTAATCATCCAATTGTAGTTCAAACAGTTTCATTCGACGTATGCATAATAATTTCTCAGCTGCTTCCCTGAAGGCAGTAAATGAAGATGAGTCAGTGTGCTAATTTGCTTACGCCGCTAGTGTGGAATGCGAAGACGTTTGTACATTGAAAGCCCAATAAGTTGATTGAACTTTTTTTGGGGGGTATATTATATTAAGCCATTTGAATTTCCCGACGAAATTATTAAATTAAGTCGTTATCTATTAAGTTATTACTGTAAATCGCGTGTAAATGTCCTTTCAAATAAAATAATATGACATTTCACGTTTATATGAACGAATTAACATCAACTTTTAGCACTTTTAAACAATAGCCTACATAAAATTTGGATGTGTGCTTCGAAGTTCGGATCTGCCATGGGAGGCAGCAAGGGATGCATTTCCGGATGCCTTTTTTACGTTTTGGCACACTACTGTTCTTATAATATGCTTCATTCTTCTCCTTTTATAATAAATACCAAAATAGTATACCAGGAGTTTCTCGTTTATAATGATGCACTTTTGTGCAAAAATCTATGCCAGGACAATGACTCCGTTGTGACGATAATGCAGAAATTCCAATAAACTAACCAGGCTTGGTTTTAAAAATGAACGTATGGAGAATAAGTATTACAAAACGCTCCTCGATTTGCTCGCTGCAAGAAATGAAATTCTACAGTAAAGTTCACATGAAGAAACAAATAATAAAACTGATCTTTAGCAGAATCTGCTCCTATACCTGACGAATGTATCCGATTTATTTTCATATCAAATCGGTCTGATATTTCGCTTAGACCGTAACACAATTTTAAAATAATTATACCAAGTTAGACAAATGTCTTCCTACAGAAGACCACCGTTACCACGGAACGACGGAACATTTTATTATGAATGCGTACAGGTAAATTGTAAGGTCAAAAAGTTCAAAGACGAATCGTTTGTATATGACGCATTGTACAAGGATCTCAAACTCGGTTTCAGAACTTCTATTGAAAAGCGCAAAGCGTGCGTACCACATTCGTTAAAAATATAAACTTCAGTCCTCGTCATGAATTGATACATCTTTAAGTGAGGAATGAGAATTTTAAGTGAATATACAATGTAAGAATTTGTATCAGGTACAGGTACCAAGTACATAATATGATAAGAATGCTTTCGGTTTGTAAGTGTCTTACTTTCTTTACAATGCTGAGTATTTGTATTTACAATGTACATCATTTGTTTTTACTGGTTAGTTTGCTTAGTCAGACGTTATAAAAGGGAAGACCATTGAATGTGCACTGTATTGTAGATAGAGTACCGTAGGTAATTATCATCCTAAACGATTTCTATTTTTTTTTTCAAAAGACCCTTACAATTATACACGTAGAATGACTCACGATCAGCTTCCCTAAACCAATCGGTATCTTTCTATGAATCATATCTGCATTCAATGGCATTAATAACGATTGGCAATTTCAGAAAATGTCATTTATGGCTTCCATTGTGTCAGTGTAAATGTTGGGGGATGACTTACCGTCATCATAATTGTATTCGAATAGTATGTATTCAGTTTACTATATAAATAGAAGCGATGCTAGGAAATGCGTTCGTTGTACATACCTCTTTAAAGCAATAATTACTTAAATGGTTTATTTTCGTTGAGCTACCGCTTATTTGTGCGGTTTACGAAAAACTAAACACAATAGTTCCAACACACGTGAATAAAATTAGCAATGTCAAATGACTAAACATTCTGTCCATTCATTCATTCATTCATTCTTGTGTGTAAACACACTACGTTTCCTTTAGTTAAACACGAGAATTTGCTTGATTTATATCTACCCCTATACAAGAATTGTTTTGACTTTAATGTTTCCTTTCATCTCTACACGAATCAAAATATTTGTAAATTAGGATCCATATTAAATTTACTTATTTCAAATTTATTATAATTAATACGCAGTACGTAGGAGTATAGTAAAAAAAGCATATACTTATTCCGTTCGGATGATAATTAACACACGGTAGGGAATGCCGAATCTGTATTCCCTTGGTGCGTAATATCCTACTGTTTCTTTCAAATTACCTTATAAAATGACGTATTCGTCGCTCCTGTCAAAGCGAACATTTTTAAAAATTAAACATTCACGATTTTCAAAATGAAAGAAAACGATCCAACTATTTTTAAAAAAGTTACTATCGTAAAAATTGTGTTAAATTTTGACAATTTTTCAATGTTTTGTTCAATTTTATATCGTTACCAAGGTAGTTTTAACGGACAAATACCTACATATGTAATATGATTCTTTTTTCTTTTTTTAGATTAAAACTGTTGGCGATGAAGGCAATAAAATAGAGAAACTGTCTTTTTACAATCATACAGAATGTGCCTGTTTAGACAGAGCCAACGCTACCGTTAAAAGTAGATCGAATTCTGAACCTGGACAGGGTGACATGCCGAGAATTACAGGTTTATCAGTATTGCGTCCCACTAAATTATCACCAGCGGAAAATATAAAGAGGTGGGTTTACCTACCTTCTACTGAAATATAGAAAATAAAGTAAATCTTATGGTGCCATCTTTTTTAGGTGTAAATGTCCTGCCGAATATAAACCACGTTTTCAACATTATTACTTAAGGTGCCATTGTGATTGTTACGAAGGGAATGTAGATTGTTTACGAATGAAAAGAGGAAACGAATATTTTTCGTTGAAAGATAGGCTGTGAGTGTTAAAAGGAAAAAATCTCAGATGACAAAATATGGTCTTGTGCTTTATTTATTTTTTTGTTTCAGATGTATCAAAAACTCTCAGTGTGGAACACCTGCTTGTGAATATGGAAGCTATCAGCATAATCTTGGAAGATGTCCAAAACACCACGAGCAAAGAAATAATGTCGATGATTAATGATAAGTGTATAATTAAACGAACGATGGGCGATGCGCTGAGAAAACTGCCTAGATACCCATACCTACCGCAATTTACGTACATTGATTGACAACATGTGACGATGGTAAAGTTGAAGAATATTTCGTTTGTTCTACCAGAAAACGAAAACGCAGATATAACCAACCCCTTCTCCTCCTCCTTTCCTCCCCCTACGTGTTTGTTCATTAGTATAAAATGCACGTACAGTACTTACTTAAGTACTACTATCCTAATAGTGTATTCATGCCATACAAATGAAACCAATGTTTATATGTACAGTTAAATGCAAAAAATTTTGTCTTGGAACAAAATTTTTGCACCGGACGGTATATTTACGGTACCCTAGTCGAATGATTAAAGTATTTTATTTTTTACTATTGTATGTAAATGTAACAAAAAAACACCCTAATCCAAAGGGTGCTTTGTAATTCGAATAAAAAACATTCGCCATATTGAAATATTGCTTTTTCTTTAATTTTAATGGGTAATAAATAGTCATCGGAGTCTTCTAAAAGCTACCCCAACGGTAAGTATAATGTTATAAAAATTTTAACGTTTGATGGGTTTTTCTGTGTACATTATTGTGAAAATTGGGCATGTGGTCCGATACTTACGTAGAACTTAACTTCTGTTCAAGTACTCAAGATTTATAATATTTATGTGGAGATTATATTTTACATTAATAACATAATTGTACAAGCCCTAAAATTTCGGTGGAGTTAACTAGCACGTGTAGGTTTTTAATTATGTATATCCTTTTTAAATTTTCATTATTTAAACACCGTACCTAACTACATATTTATCAGACGATACGATTAAATTCAGTAGAATTTTGTTCGCTGACAAGCACAATGCTTTATGCTGTATTTTTTTATTGTGTTTTGTATTATGCTGACGGGCAAAATGCTTCGAAAGAAGGAAATATCAAATCCATCGATTACCGTTTTCTGAAAGTAAATTCTGAATTCAATGATAATATCACATCGAATCGTGTAACAAATTTTGATAATAAGATTTTCGACAAATTCCCATCAACTGGTCATCAAGCCAAAAAGAAAGTAGGTAAAAATAATTAATTATCTTGTCGGTTATTTGTGTATTTATTATGCTGGGATAATTTTTCCGTACAGTTAAAAAACGGTCATACATCTGCGACTCCAATTTATTTGGACGAAGAATGGAATGTGAAGTTGACAGAAAAAAAAGACTCTGTTCCCCCGTTAATGATGGAATTATTTGAAGCTATGGATAATGGCACAGTACAACTTACAAAAAAATCAGAAACAATTAGGTGCTTTTATGGCACCAAACATGCGAGAGAAGAAATACTATTCTTCAATGTATCCAGTATAAGGACTCATGAGGAAATTGTTGATTCTGAGCTTGTTATACCAAGGTTAAAAAAATGTGTTATTTATTAATTGCAGTCAATTTGACCGGAGAATCATGTAATCGAAAGACAGTAAAAATGATTATCATATATATCAAATTTGCAGCAGTTCATTTTTAAATGGTACAAACGGTTTTTACCGCGATACGATAATCAGGCTTTACCAAATTCTTCCAAATGTTAATACCGATTTCAACAAAACGATTAATGCTGATCAACATCAACTGCTCACGGTATCGTATGTTAATGTTATAAAAACAAGCAATCAGGTAAGCTGTACACCTACTTAACGTATGTAGATATGTAGTCAATAGGATTTTTTAAAAAATGACGATGATATATCGTTTTAAGATTTTTAAAATGAAACAAGCTGTCATAAATTGGGTAAAGGGAGCTCCAAACCTGGGATTACTTATCACAGTTAGCGATATAAACGACAATACGCAATTATTACGACTAACGATCAGTGACAAACAATTAAAAAATTCAGACCCTTTCTTAATTTGTTATTTTAAAGGCAATAGTCGAAAAGGTAAGTACCAGTACGTGATTATCGAAAAATAGCTAATATTTGTATCGATCTCTTAACGATTTTAGAACTTGCACGTAATATCAATTTGAACAATGCAGAAAATAATATCATCGAAACCAAAGGAGACTCCTGTAATAAAAAGCCGCTTTTTATAAACTTCGAAGAAATCGGATGGAGTAACTTTATCATAGAACCTCGTGGCTTTATGGCAAACATTTGTTCTGGCACTTGTTCGCTAGGCTCCCCTAATTTTATCAACTATGTAAAATTGCTTAACGGTTTACGTATTTTGGAACATGTAAATTGCGTTCCAGACCAACTAGATTTTCTAACACTCATGTTCTACGATTCCTCATATAATATTGTTATAAAAAAATACAGAAACATGATTGTTCGAACCTGTGTGTGTAAATAATTTTGGTATTGTACGCAATCGCATCAATTATTATACATATTTATAAGTTATAAACCATTTACTTTTCTAAATTTATTAATGTATTATACAATAATTACTTAGTTTTGTATTGATATACCTACATGTATGAAACCAGAAAAATGTCGTCTTTTCCTTCCAAATTGGCTATATTACAATTGACCATTGATTGTAGATAGAGTACTACGAGTTATTGACACTATGACCCTCGTGGCCTCTTAAATTTCTGCACTTCTCAGCATCTCCATTTAATATAATTTTTTCGAAATAAAAGTGCCAATTTAATCGGAATAATGAAAACCTTAATGTTGAATTTGTTTCGAATTGGTTTAATTTTTACAATCATTTAATATCTGAAACATACCATTGAGATAATTTAAAATGTCCTGGGGAGTAAAATGAGGGAAAGACGGACCTTATTGCATTCATATTGTACACTCCAAAAACACTATTTTTAGTGAGAAGTAGAAATCAACGAACAGGCGGAGGTTTGTCACTGTGCAATTCAAGGTCATGGCCCTCGAGATTCTAAACTATCTATCAGTTTACCATGAGATGAACGGGGTCCAGGGTCTCGACTTCTACCGTCCACGCAATTGCAATTCCATACTTATTTGTAGTTCATTTGCGTTCTTCAACATTAAATTCGCAACGCAGTTCAAACTCAAACAGAAAACAAAATATTGGAATTAGAAACAATTAAAGACGCAGTAAATCGAGATCTTCTTCGTCTGCCCGTACCAAAACTGGTACCTAATGCACTAACACCGACATCTTTTTTCCGTACGACACATTTCGTTAAAACCGGTAACGAAACGAAAAAGTGAAATATCACTTTTATTGCGAAGTTGGATTTTGTCAAAATCCAGTAGTAATTCCGACGTATTGCGTAAATTAAAAGTATTAGTGTTTAATTTATAACGTGGAATTTGTAGCCTTTTATAGAAACTGAGAAGACTGTTGCCCCATATACAACCAACCTGTAACGAATCGAGACGTAGGACAACAGAACCACGACCAACTATTTATACTTTTAACGAAGATGGAGATTTAATCAAACATAAACAATAATCAAAAACAGCAAAATATCGATATCGAAAAGAGGAAACCTTTAACCGCAAGCTAAACGACTTTTGTGTGATTATGTGTGTTTTGAGTGATTTACTGTTTAAAATAGTCTTTCTCTTCTGAAGAGAGAAGAGAAAGAAAAAAAGATGCATAAAGAATAATGGTCCAGGAACAGCTGAAAAAGAAAAAAGGATGGAGTGCTAGTAACTTCGTTCAAAAAGTATCTTGTTGGATGTAATGTATTTTACTTACCGTTAAACGCTGAAATAAAAGGAAAGACAAATTAGTAAGCGTTATAAAATTGTGTAAACTGTTTACTTGCTTACCTTTATCTTTATGTATGTGACCAATTTTAGGTACCAGGAAAGTGTGTGTGTGTTTTTTTTTAGATAAATGAAACTGAACAAAATTTTAAAAACTGCTAGTGATCAATGATTAAATTCCAAAATAACTTTATAATTCTACGATTTTTTAGTAGAAATGAGCTTATAAAAATCCGTATTAAAAAAAAAATATTTTTTTTAGCAGAGGTACAATGTTTTTCCGTGACTTCAGAGACGGAAGTGCATTATTCCCTCCTGGGTAAGAAATCACATTTACTCCTTATTAGAAAAGGTAATAAAGAGTATAAATTAATGCAATTCCTTATCCGGAAGGCGCATTCGTCCCTGAAATCAAGAAAAATCATAGCATTTTCCGTAGAGGTATGATAAATAATTGTTTACGTCCCGCGGGAAGAAAGCACTGCTTGGATGGCAATTCACACTCGAAAGGGAATGTCGTACTTTCTTCCCTTGGTGTGTAATATATTGATAATAGTTTCAAATTAAAATAATCTCAGTTAATAATGAAATTTCAAATAAAAAGTGTTGTGTGTCATATTAAGGTATGGTAAATGTGGCAACAGTGGCATTAATTCAAGTCAGACGAGGACGAGATTAAATTAAAAATTTGTGCGCACTCTATGCTCATCGAACGAACGTCTCTGAGCAAATCGTAACAGCAAAAGAAGTAATCAGTATTAATATAGCCGCAAATTTAGAAATTGATTAATACCTAGAAAAATGAATAAGCAAGTAAATAAAATCATTGAAAAAAATAAAAGACAAACACCGAACGTTTTAACAAATTTATTAACTCTTGAGTTAACAGAGAACCGAAAATGATCGGATATGTCGAAAAAATATCGTCGAGTACCTACAATAAATTTGTTGAAACGTTCAGTGTTTGTTTTCTCGTTAAAAATGTTTTATTAAGTGTACACTTTAGATAGTTTGAATTAATTGATAATTTCTGTTGATTTTGAAAAAATTTAGTGTACCATTGGTGTATATTGCCAAAACTTTAATAAAACATAATTATCCTACTTGTGCATATTTTTAAAAATTTACTGTTTTAAATTTTATATTGAACGTCATTAGCAAGTTAATTATTAAAAGTGAAAACAGAGCAATAGCAAAATTAAAGATGAAATGAATAAATGCCAAGAAATTTCAATAATTTCAAAATTAGGAAAAACATTGCTTTTAACTCAAAACTAATTTACAATTAGTGTTTAACTTGGCGCCAACTTTGAACCGATCACGAGCTGCCACTGTTATGCCAGGCGAAAAGATTAGCGCGTACACTAATGTTAAGGTACAATACACTATACCTCAGCACCTACACCTCGGTAGCATCCTTCTTCTACACTACATTAACATAATGCACTAGCTGAAAAAAATCAAATAGACCCAGCGAGTGACAAGTATACATGCACAAATATATAAACAATATACATATATGAAATATTAATTTTGTACATAGTGTTTAGTGTATGATGTATATGTGGAACACAACACCCAAGTGACAGCGTGGACAAACCTTTATTATTGTTATAGTGTTCTCCATCTTCAATCCTATCAAAAAATAACAACACTTTATATAATACGGAGTAGGGGACCTAAAACGCCAATTAATCATCATTGAGCCCAAATCACAATTTGACGTCACACAGGTGCCGTACCTGGATTCGTCTGTCCCTATACCTAGTGCTAAATGAATAATGGAACGACAATGGAGCCATTAATACACTAAATTACAGTTTGTAATTTATCTCAATGGCAAAAGCACCAAAATAGCCCCCAAAAATATAAAAATACAGCAAGAAAAATGGATATAACAGCTTGCCACTCAGGTCTATTTGATACAATTTTTTGATTAGTGACTTACTTGGAGGCGTCAGCTAGACCTCAATAGGGTTCACTGAAACCTTTAATCTATCCAGCGTAGGATGTCCAGGGTCCCTGGTTCGGTGCTCTAGGGTCTAGGGTCCAGGATCCAAGGTCTTCGTCTTCGACGTTCAGGGTCCAAGAACTTAAAATATTCGTCCTCGTCCTCTCCAATCCGTCAGTAACCATCACACGATCGGAGAAATTAAACTACTTTCCTTAATACGACACACTAAACACACTAAACACACCTGGATGGACCTGAAACAAAACAAACCTTAGGGAAGTATGTCTGAAAGCAGGCAACAACTTGGGATGATATTTACCTGGTTCCAAGTCGATCTAGATATTATATTTCGGCACTAAAATGGTGTGTAATTAATTGCAGAAAGTCTCGTCCAAAACATTATCCTCATCAGTTAAGAACGTTCGTCACTTTCGCAATTCGTTGAAACTGTTTCACGGTTTTCAAAAGTTAATTTCTTTAAACTTAGACTTGGACTTCACTACTGAAATAAAAATTAATTTTTAGATGAAACAAACAACACAATTGCAATTATATTTTGCAAACAATGTATTTTTGAAAAATGAATCTGATTGGTAATACCCTGCATTTGAATTTAAAATTTAGTGAGCTCTACTGTTACCTGCACATATTTTAAGTACATGTTTAGTTACCTGTAAAATGTTTCGGAGAGTAGTGGTGGAGCGCGGCGTCAGATGGCGTCGACTCCAGAAGGGGCCCCTCGTCGGCATTACTCCTTTGAAAAACTAGAACCGGTTCGATAAAGTCGAGGTCACGTATGACGTATCACGTTGCTTGTGCGTGAAATCGCTGGGTGTTTGTGCAATGCTAAGTGCAGCAAATATGTTCTCAAAAACGAAAACTGCGTCGTTTGGTTTTAAATTACTTTCAAACAGCCATTGAAACTTAAGTAAGTAGAGAATTTGTATTTTATCCACTTAAGTAATAATTTCCATTATTAGAAACGTAATTAGGGCATGTGGGCGTTTTTCTTCTCCATTTTAATTGCTTTGCGACCATCAGCAACTGCATATTTTTATAAAGTTGGGCAATATTATTCCATTTCAGTTAATAACGAATGGGGCTGAAACCATCTTAGAATATGGCCTTGGGTACTATGAAGAAATTTTAAAAGGGTGAGTTAATATAAATTGCACATTGAATTTATTTCATTATTATTCAAGGGTAATATAATATGGTATTTTAGGATTATGTACATGAAGAAAAACGTGTGCTATGGAAATAATCTAGATAGTATGGTATGTTTAGATCACAATATATATAGATACCTATTTTTCTTTTTTTTTAATATTTGAAAATTCATTCTCAATTTTTTTTGTACATGTTACTTCAAATTAATGAGAAAATAAAAAAAAATTCAATCACAATGGAAGGATGAACTGTTTAGTTCTAATCTGAATGAAAATTTTTGCATTGTGGTCACCTTTAGACAAAATAATGCAAAGAAATCTTCCTAATTTGTTCTATTTTTCTTGAGAGCAAATGTGATAAAAGTAAATAGTGAATAGACGTACTAAATTTATAGAATTAAAAAAAAAATAGGTATCAAATTATTTTTTAAATGTGTACCAATATGAAATAAGTATGTAGGTATGCGTATGTAGGTTTTTAAAAGGTAAGTTTTGTAATTTTCATAAGTAATACAGATATGTCTCAATAATTGTTGTGCATTGTTTTTTTCTAAATTTTCAAATTTCA